TAGTCGTGGCATTTCGGCAAAACCGAAAACATTTTTTGGAAACACGAGCGCATTCGATCAGAAATAGAACGAAAGCGCGAAATATCGATACCGAATTGTCATCTCCATATAGATAACATATTTTATGGTCATTCTAAATAGATAACACATCTCTCCGGAAAACAAATGTTTCTTGATTCAAGCGTGCGCGAGGCAGTTTAATCGGCTAACACGCTTATAGTTGCGTAAAGTTCTGCCGCGGACATGTAACACAGGATGCAATTCCTCGTGAACTACGCGAGTTTCTAACGTGCCATTCCTAAAGTTTCCTAAAGCTAGCTGCGCTGCGATTTAATGTATCGCGCCGTTATTTGAAGATCGTTACGCTAAGAAGATTGTTACTCCAAGATGAAGATTGAAGATTGTTACCCTAAGATGATTTACTTCCATTGCCATTGCAGTTTTCATTCAAAGTCCTTCAAAGGAGTTGTTACTATTATGCTATTCAGTTGTCGCAATAATTACCGTCTTTAGTCAGACTCGACACGTTGTGTGTGTGCGCGTGCGTCGCGTCGCGATTGTTAACGAGAAATCATTACAGCAAGAGAAATATCAACAATCGTGAGAGAATCAGTTTTACAAATTATGTTTATCACAATATCGGATATCGCGATAATTATGTACTGCTGTCCTCCCGTATTATTTTATCAATTAATTTGACATTAATTTTCTTATTAAATATTCGCTTGTTGTTTTTCTTTGCCCGAAATACGAGTATTTTTGGCGCATTAACGTTCCCTTTTTATTTATGTCTTCTTGTTATTACTGTCTATTATCGAATTAAAAATCGTAAATTATATTGGATGCAATTTAATTATTAAAATATATTTAATTACATTCTTCGCGTATTTTGCGATCAGATAAATCATAATATTTCGATAAAATAAACAAGAGAGTATACTTTTATCTCTCGTATTTCTAAAAGTACTGTAATTTGTGTACGTCGACATTTATTTTACGAGTGTTAACATAGATGATGCTTTTTCAAACATCTTCATGTTGCGTAATGGTATTTTGCATATCAGAGCTTTGCAATTACAAAACATTACACACACATTTATTATTTATCTTCACAAATTTATTCGTAATATAGAAAATACCAAGGATCGACAAAAATTAAAGCAAAATTTTATCACACATGTCCTGTCCACTCTTTAATAATATTTAATTAAAAAGATTTAATTACTTTTATTTATTTAAGGACTTAATTAATTTCAATTTACATATCGAGTTACTTTTTCTTATGCAAATATAATAAATGTTATTTTAATATATTCATTTGCACAATATTCCGCAACTACGTTCACATTTTGCCGTACTTATTCGCGTTTTTTTGAATTGGATTTACCTACTTTCTTTTTGTTCATATTGTGTGAAATCATTTATTCCATTTTTATATTTCGCAATGGTTACACAAGTAAAGTAAGTTTTGCTTATTGAGTATGAATTTTACTATTTAATTTTTGCGTTACCTAAAAAAGTGTTCAAAAAAGTGTGTGAAAATAAAATCTACTACCGTTTTTTTTTTTTTTGTTTCACATCGTTATCCACCGAAATATCTAAGATAGAGAAAATCCCAGATATGTCCGTTTGCGAATAGTTTTATTTGTTCACGAAAGCGGTGAAACTTCGCAGATAGCTAGCGTCCATAGCGTGCCTCGAACAATACGTATATAGACACCGCATTAGCGAAAAGGTGCGAAAGAAGTAGCGCTCGTGAAATGTTTGAGAGCAAATGAGGTATCTCGCACTTATAGCACAACGCTTGCACGTAATCGTAATATAACGCCGGAGAGATTTACAACGTTTCAACGCGAACTTGCTTCTTTTGATCTTTCGTGCAATAATGATAGAACATAAGAAAAAAATCACATTATATGTGTGTGTGTGTGTTACATCTTACAAAATTTCTTTTTTATATCTATCTCAATCGCGCAAGCAACAGAGATCATCTCTCTTTCTACGTCGAAGTAATGTTTACAATTTGTATAAGATAGAACAAATTAATCTTATCTGTTAAATTCACGTATGAAAATAATAATTTTGTTGTTGCGTTAATTACACATGATAATCTTTCTATTATTATACAAGTTTTTTTTTTATGATACTAGCACAACACAGGCGCGCGCTACGCGCACGCTATTGTTATTTTTATTTAACGTGTTGTCAGTGAACACAACCTGTCACCGCGATGACAGATAGTATATACGTCTTATAAACCATATAATACACATATGAGAAATGTCA